AAGATGATGGACGACAGAGGTATGTCACATTTACTTAACAAAATCAGAAAACTGTAATGGTCCGATTAAATTCAAAACATCCCTCTACCTTGGTTGTAAGTAACAGTCCAGGAAACAGCTATCGGCAAATTTCACAAATGTGCTATAGATACCAAAATAACTTCATTGATAAAATAACCACAAGATTCTTCTTTTGATCCAACTTTCATATCTAATATACTGACATATATATTTATATATTACTCGATATATGTCTCTACGTGAAGAAATTCTGCATTAACAGGACTTGTATCTTGTAGACAACACCGTCGAACGTAAATGGCGAACTGACAAATACCCATGTATATCAGCACATTGGGCAAAATTACTGACTCAAAATTTTCTTCTTTAAGTTCCCGAAGGAAAGTGTACTAGTCGACTGACCGTTTTGATGAATAACTTTCTTCATAAACTAAATGTGCAATGTGAAATGTTGTATATTTCAGTACCCGTTTGGTTAAACAATAAAGACAACGAAAATAAAACACACTCAATGGAAAAGAATCACCCAATTCAAATTTAGTAAATTGAAACATTTATTTACACATAACTTGATAAACAGTCAATAAATTGAGCATTTACTGGTATGTGATTTGAAACACAATAAATTAAATATTTATATTTCAATAAATAAATAAATTCATTTGTACAGGAAAATGGCACAACACAATGTGTGAGCACAATAAGACTGGTAGATATGATATGTCTCACTTCCAACAACACAACCCTTCGGACTTTCTCGATCCCTAAAACACGGAGACAAAAAGTACACGTCGACTGAACACCTGGAATTCTTTTGTTGTATTGATGAGTTGCACAAACATACTTGAGATGATCCATGATTGTTTATGATATTGATGAGAATGCTAATGAGTTCATAAAACACAGAACACAAACAGTTCATTGCACATTTTCCAAAATAAAACAAAATAGTCTTTGATTCAATGTTGTGTCTTGGAGATTTTTCCTCCATTTGCTCCTGACTAGATCGACAATGTAATGTTTATCTTATATTATTCTGCGTATCTCCTTCCATCCTTATCTCTTGTAGTTTAACGGAAAACATCTTCTCCATGGCACCCTGTCGGTTTTATATCATAGCTAAATGTCAGTGACACAGTTAACATTAATAAATGCTGAGGACATCACAGTAAGAGAGACAGTTCGTCACCAAGGTAACCACGTGCAATAGGACCGTCACAATGTTAACCACGTAATTAGGGCCTGCACCGTGGCCTTACATGTATATCGTCGTTAAGGGCCGTAGACATCACTCATTTGGTCTGTGAATGATAAAATTAAGATATGTTACTTCGTTAGCAAATCGAACAAAAACAAAAACAACAGCAAGGACAAACGTTACAACTATATTGTACAAATAGGAACACTCATAAGCAGCGAGAAAAAAAAATTAAGAACGAAAATGATGTTTTACAGGTAAAAAATAACTGTCCACCTCACAACAGTTTTAATAACTTATATAAATACCTACCGGATATACAAATGTGATTTTCTTATCCTTGCCGGAATCATTTTCGGCTATACAGGTAAACACTCCCATGTGTTGAGCCCATTGCACATTTCTGATCAGAAGATCGCCGTTTGGTAAAAGCTGTTGAAATACAAAGGCGTCATTAGTTATAATATGCATCTGTTGTTAGTAAGTATCCAATTAATGAAAACAGGAAACTTAATCGTATCATAAAAATGACAACGTCTCAGATCAAACATTAACTGAAGAATGATTAATCAATGATAAGATTTCTCAATTTTTAAACTGTCATGTGTATTAATTCCTGTAAAGATTGTTGAACTTCTATAATATTGCGTAATAACTGTGATAAACATTGATAAATTGAACAGCGGTCTCACCTCGTATCCGAGATCCTCCTCCGAGATAATCTGGAGATCCGGGGTCTTCCACGTGATACGTGGTGTAGGGAAGCCTTCTGCGCGGCAAAACAACTGGATGGTGGCACCCCTTTTCTCTAACCTGTTACTTGTCCACTGATAAATGCGAGCTGGCATTTTTTCTACAACAACAGAACGGGCATTGAATAATTAATTGGCGAGGTTTGGTTGTCAGAAAGTTCTTTATATCATAAATATGATTTAATGTCCAATTATATCACAATCGAATGTTTTACTTTTTAAAAAAAAAAAACAACAAACGTTCATGTGTGTTCGTATATATATATATATATGAGATTGAAAACTTAAAAAGTATTACTTACCAGTAAATGCTCTTTTCACAAGACAACTCTCTTCCCTGTCATCTAGAAGTCTATCTGTAAAATAATATAAAAATTGTAACGTGACATTTATTTCAATGGTATTCATATTGATTGGCTTCTCCACAAATTTTGCCATTGGATTTTGACGATTTTCATTTCAGTGACTGAATAGACAGGTGCATGTACACGCTAGGTCAGTTATAACACGTTGTCGTCAACAACCGCTAAATTGCCTCGAGCAACTCTAATCACTAGATGGACATTTCGTTTGATACACTACAAATATATGGATAGATTGCCCTCGGGGTACTTACCTACTCCCAGGGTGGTAGTGCTAACAATCCTCTGTGTGGGAGTGTCCGCCACGCAAGAGTAGTCTCCCTCCATATCCGGTGTGATACAGTCGAGATAAAGAAGAGCTTTGGTAAAACTCCTCCTTAATAATGGACGACCCTCCTTATCGACAACATCTTCGTAAAACGCCTCGTCGTTTGTATTTGAAAGCATGTCACCCTGTAATGACAAATCGAACCGTAAATGAATGTTTGATCAAAACAATGTCCAGACTACAGATACATATCACGCTTGCCTATGTAAAGTTATACCATTGTGATAACCGACGACTCGAAACTTCGACATTCGACGACCTTAATCATGATTACAACCGGTCGCCTATCGGTCAGAAGGATAACGTTATGGACGCTCCGCTTTAGATATCACTTACATACAATTACAAATGATGGATGTAATTATCAACATTTCAATGTGCCCACATATCTAATGTGTTCCTCTAAAATGAAGTTGCGTGTTTATCACGAGTTATCGGCGTTAAATGTTTGAATGTTGAATTACCATATTGGTCAAAGTCCGATGTAAAAGACAAGAAAACTAAACTTTAATTCAAATTTCAGCTTTCTATATCGAATATTGTCGCTTTCTAGACAAAAAATATTGTCGATGGACTTTTAGTTTACCAATGTTATTTACTTAAAGTAAAATGTGAAATAAATAAATAAATAGAAAAAATTAGAAATGTGTACGAGAACCTGTTCAATGCGATGTTGTCCATCTTTAACCCAGTGGATGGTAGGGGGAGGAGTACCGCCAGCCTGACATGTTAATACGGCACTCTTGTCCAGTACGACCGTCTTACGAGGTAAATCACCATTTTTCTTGAAGAATAAATCCAAGCCTGATCTCCTTGCTGAAATAAAAGACAGAGATTTTTTAAAATAATAGAATTTTACATATTAGTGTAGTATCAGACATTGCGTACAATACAATATTGAACCAGTTTGATTTTAATCTCGTGATAAATTCTACTGAACACGTCTGAAGTATATGAAATAAATAAAGCATGTTTTTTTTTCAGATTGCATTATCTGTATATATGTATTAGTTTACTTACATGTCTGTCGCTTCGCGGTTCCGTAAGGAGTTCTCGCTTCCTGCAATGACAAATAAAGACAATTAATTTCACTTATATAAAGGATTATTAAATTGCTCTGGGATTGGTAAGGATCTATTATAAAAACATGTAGCAATGTGACCTCTGTTGATTTGCGCGGTGTTGATTTTACGTACAATTTAAATTAAAAGCCATTATTTAACTACACCGGTATTACAGTTGCGTCATCTTAGATTTTGGCTGTGCGCCAAATCGTTCGGGTTCCCCTGTGACCCAAATAGTTTGGCAAAGTGCCAAGTAGGGCAGTGAGGCAATGTGCCACACAACGTTTAGAGCACTGCGTTTATGAATGAAGTGTATTACAACTCCGATCTACTACGAGGAATGCGAGCCCTTTGGCTATACAGTATGCGTCACTTGTGAACAGAAGCGGTAGACCGCGACATGGGAGTGTCGCTCCAGGTCACCCCGTATATCCTTCGACCCAAACATGCGTTACCTAGAGAAACCCATTTATAAAGTCCCCCCATACCTTATTTCTAAAATACCTTTGAAAATCAATTTTGTAAAGATCGAGTGAGATATATATATATTTTTTTAAATTTGCTTTCACAAGTTTTATTATTACCATTTTTTCGGGTCTCTGATTTCTATCCGTCAAATTGTACAATATATGGGTCAGTCTCAATTATACTTTCTACGCCTTCGAATTACTGTAAATCTTATCAATAGAACATATAATAAAAAAAATGTGTACTTGTGTACCAAATCGCCTACCACTCAATCATTTTCAAATTCAAGAGTCACTTTTTTTCTTGAATTTGGTGTTCTTAAAATAAGTTTCATCATATACGAGACTGTTTATAATTATATCTTACAAGCCGAGAAGTTTTCAGAATAAATAAATAAAATTGAAATTGATTTGACCACCACATTTCTGGAACATTCTGGACTTTATCGTTATATCGCAATACTTACCAGGTATCTGCCCGCTGACAGGGACAAACACAGTAACAGGGACACGAGATAGCCCAATACCGTCACACTGCTGCCCATTCCTTGTATAAGTAATCTGTTATGAAATAAAATCAAAATTATGAAACATTTTGTATACATATGAAATATAACGAAAAGAATAAATCAACAACCAACTAAAAGATTTTTAAAACTGACACTCGATTTTCTCTGTTCATTAGTTTCAATTAACTACTGAAAAAATATTTCGATTTTATCACACAGAATTTACAAATAATACAACAATTAAATATTAAAAAATAATTGTCATCAAATAGCAGGATCAATTCATGTATGAGAATGTTCCTTACCTCAAATTGAAAATCCTGAAAAACTGTGATAGAATTTAATCCGAGTCTGGTGCTGTAATATATTGTCCGGAATGTATCACTAGTGTAACGTATTTCACTGTACAACTGTCCTAATCGTTATGGCCATTCACGTCTCCTGCTGTCCATTTATACCGTATGATGACGTCAACACGCTGGGAAGCGGGCTATCATTCGCTGATATATACAGGGGTGTATTCTACTTAGGTAAGCCGCGCCCACTCATTCCCAGATACGATCAATAGTCTGTAGGTTATATTGCCTCGTCTGGACACACTAACGTACTGCTTTATAGGAATTTTAGCCTTCATTTTTAACTGTAGTAGCTGAAAGCACTATTCTTGTTCTATATAACGTTTCTGTAGTGATAACACACACCAAGGACTTTTTTGATAATCTTTGATACTATACGTATATATCCCGAATGAAAGTAAAACATCGACATTTTAATGATTTATGTGTTTGATATGATTTTCATCATTTCTTTGATACAATTAAATTTTGTCAGTGATAGTACGTATGTACATATCTCAGATCCTACATAATTTTAGAGCGGTGGAAGATTTTGTCCCTTGATGTGAACTCCTCTTTTAATTAACACTGGACATTTCTCGTTATCGTGATTAAAAATAAGACCCTCCAACATTTCGATCTATGTGAGTTTACCAAGTGCGCATACATCGACTTGACGTCACACTGACAACTTGACAGTGATCACGTACATCACTACTGAACTTTAATGTGTGTCGTATATATATATATATATACACGCCTTATGTTCCAATAAGTAATTAAAAACATTGAGAAAAATCTAGTTTAAGATAATGTACGTAAAAATGTTTACATATTGTTTTCTAATTTAAAGGCTGAATTAATTATACTTCATTCAATGTATCCAATCAATTAACTTTTTTCACAATTAGAATATTTTCAAACTTCATAATGTTCAAATTAACTCTACAACCATAGATTGTTTCTGAAATGCAATTTGGTTATTTAGTAATTGTTATCATGACACATTTCAAGGACAACGTATTTCTTCAGGACGTACAGCAAATTGTCATTCCGATAGTTAGATTAATAGATTCATGTACAGCCAGAGACGTATTTTTCCATTCTAACTATCCGACAACCTTTAGTGTCCCTTTGGGGCGTTTTTCTCACTCATTCATACATCGATTACGTCAAATCTATTTCTGTCTGGATAGAGACGTCGGTCATGGTAATTCCATTATAATGGAGCGCTAGAGATCGCCCGGGGCGTGATATTTGATACTACTACGTCGGGGCGGCCCATTCATGAGTTACTAATGTGTAGATTCTCCCCGACTTCCGTGTCTGTGGGGCAGGTGCGAGGTCAACGAGGTCACGATTTCATTACCATCTCAAATTTTGTTACCAAAAAGTAAGTCAAGACATCAACCAAATATGAAAGACTAAAAATAGTTTTATTTGTTTCTTTCATTATCTGAAATTTACCAATCTTAGTTTAAAAAGTGTAAACCATTAATTCGTTTTTGTTCTTCTGGTACCTGGCTATCTTCTAGGAGAGCTAATCACACCAAAACTTAAGATAATCTCAAACCACTTGTGTGATAGCTATTTTGATGTCATATATCTAATACACCATATATATTATGATACACCAACCATTAGAATAAAGACGAGGAGACAATCCGTTTCACAATACATCAGTCTAACGGAGAGGCCATTATCTAGAATTTTCTATCAACAGTGACTTTCTCGGCCTTTCACGAGTCGAGTCAGGTTCGATTCTCCATTCTGAAGTGAACATGTAAAGGGGTGTGGCAACATGTGAATTTTTCACATGTTATCTGTTTACGCTAACATAAGTTAACATAACTATTTCCGATGTGTTGTGAAACGAATAACGTTAAGTAAAGTTGAAAAACTGTAGATAGGGTGTATTACAAATATGTTTATACACGAATTTCCATTCCATGTCAGAATTAGGAAAACAATTATTGAAGAAAACACAACTTCTCAAGCATTTTAACAATCAATATTTTCATTATTATCCAATCGTGTGACGTAATTTCATTGTCTTACTATGACGGAACAATAGATCATTTTGGGTTCTTGATAAATATAAAAAAAAAATATATGTGTGTAGTGACTGAATATTATTTCAATCATGTTGTTCCATAAGATACACACTGACAGAAGTGTAAAATAACTTATTGCTTTTAACAGCGAACACATTGTAAGTCAGTCTCTGTAGGACTTTTTACATTTCAATGCGAATTACAATTTACAGTTTAAAGTTTCATTAATTATTGATCGTGTATTTATTTAGTTTTTAGGTCAAATATAATAATTTTTAATTAGTAGCCGCATTTGCTTGATAACATATGACAAGGGTGATGCAGCCTTATGTATAACAATATTATCATCATTGTTTTCCTATACTTTTGTTATTGTCTATATTGATTATCGTATTGGGGATTAGTGATTCGGGTATTGTTGGCACGCACTGAAATGTTGTTATTGTTAATATTCTATATCTTTGCAGCTTTGTTGTGTGATGGTCTTTTGTTAAATTGTTGATATAAATAAATGTGTTGACACTATTAGTAGCTGTGTTTTGTGATGATCTTTTGCTATATTTGTGATATAAATCAATGTGTTGACACCATTAGTAGCTGTGTTGTGTGATGATCTTTTGCTATATTTGTGATATAAATCAATGTGTTGACACCATTAGTAGCTGTGTTGTGTGATGATCTTTTGCTATATTTGTGATATAAATCAATGTGTTGACACCATTAGTAGCTGTGTTTTGTGATGATCTTTTGCTATATTTGTGATATAAATCAATGTGTTGACACCATTAGTAGCTGTGTTTTGTGATGATCTTTTGCTATATTTGCGATATAAATCAATGTGTTGACACCATTAGTAGCTGTGTTGTGCGATGATCTTTTGCTATATTGTAGATATAGATTTTGTTGTCATTGTTTTTCGCCTTTGGTTGCCATTACTAGACGTAGTTTGTTAAACATAATCGCTATTTTACATTATTTTATTTTCTGTCATATATTCACTTATTTATTAGTAATAGCCTTATTCCTTTGCGAATTGGTCATGTAACGATTAATATTGATTTGACGAACGCCATTGTATTATACACATGACCTCCGTGTTGTGTGTACCATTAGACAAACGGCTTATATCTATAGGAACAAGTCAACCAGTACGTTGGATTTTAATCCCTCATCATCTCATCGTTCAAATCTGAAAGCTGATATTTTTCCACACAAAAATGCTGAAAGCGGAAGTCAAATGAACATAATTTGACTCTTATCTGGCTTGTTTTTTAGACTGAAGTTTAATGTAGGCACGGAGTCACATTTTATAGCAAGTAAAATGAAGATGTCATTTGACCAATATCGGGAGTTAATTACAACAATTTGTGATATATTTGTTAACTCGCATGTACATCAGGAACGTTGTATTTGCAAACAAGTACCACTTGAGTAGGTGTATTTGGGTAGGATGTAACTTCTCGTCCTTTGATGTCGGATGTGTGTACAAAACCAATTAAACTTTATGCAAATATAATTGTTATATTAAACTAATTAGTGGTTTGGTATCGATGTTGGTAAATACATTCTTTGTCTTGAGTTTACGATATGCCTGGTGACCAAAGTTTTTCATCCTATCATCATTTTGTTGTATCCTAATATGAATATATAGCCTGTAATTTACCTTAGTAAATAGTGTAGTAGAATTACACAAAATGTAGGTAGAAGGATTATGTGATCTTAATGCTTACCAGCTGTATCATTAGGTTCAACAGGTACAAAGACAATGAGAATATCGACATCTCCAACAATTCCACGAAACTATGTCAAACTATGAAGAAGAGAAAGATTTACACAGAGACCAGATGTGCCGGAAGGGTGTGTTTCTACGTCTTCATGCGAGATGATTAGTCTAGCATACATGTCATATTCACTGATTCATTCAGTTAGTTTCTTGATGTGATTAAGTTGATTACTTTTGCAACACTTGATCATATAAAGGGCCCCACCACAGACGTTTTCACCACAGTTTACAACTACCTCCTTTCAAAATATGCTGTGCCTATCTGAGTGATTCTCTCGTTTACGCGTTTGTTTTCTTATGTGATTGGCACAATGTAAATCTTTAAGTTGCAACAAAACTATGGTTTGAGTTACGTAACTTACACATCTTCTGGGTGATTGCTACATAGATGTATCTATCAGTTTTTATCTATCGAAAACGGTGTGATTTTTCACGTTCCTTTTTCTTCACCACAAAGAACATAGATCACCGTCATCATATCAAATGCCATTATTAGTACATGAATGATCCTTTCTTTCGTTACATATATTTGGTTTGTAAGGCAATAAAGCCGACACTTTCAAGAAACATGGACACTAAACGTACATGTTAAGGAAACCCTTTCACTTCAAGTTCTGTCCTATCAGTCATTCTATATACAGACTTTTGGTGTGCATATCTAGGTCGCTATCGTATCGAAACTATGTAAGAGTGTAATCTGGCACTCGTTTAGTTCTTTTCCGCCTTCAAATTTGTCCCGCTCCCGTTTTTTCCTTGTTCGCTTGGGCTGGTAGGTTTTGACATCATTCCTTCTGTCTTTACATAACGATTTAAAGAGTCTGGGAACACTTGGCATGGGTGATCTTGTTCCAGTCTCAATACATAATGATTTAAAGATTATTGGTTTACTTAAGCTGGTAGGTCTTGGCATCGTTGATTTGAAGAGCGTTTTTGGTGAGGCATTCTACAATCGAGTTAAGCGGCATCTTCACAAATGTTACATGTCCGCTGCTCGCAGTATTCCAATGGGACATATTGTATATTTATGCGCTGTGTTTTTCAGAAAATTACCATAATACTTTGCGTTTATCTTAAAATGAGTCATCAAACACTATTATTAAGTATTTTTTGCCTGCCATTTTAATCCTTCTGTTTCGATCTTTCATCCCTCCGAGCCTGACTTCTTCATTTGACATTTGATAGATATTAGATATGACATTAATGAAATGACCTTTG